GGGTATTTATAGAGAGACCCCAGCGCTGGGCCAACGGTCATTCGAGGTGGGCCAGACGACCAGGCCCAGCCCTAATGACTGCTAGGGCTTACGTGGCGTAGTGAAGACCAGGACGTGGTCTTCGCCCTAGTTCAACCGCTCCTAGGTCTCCGGAAAGTGGGTTTGACCTGCTCTTTCGGAGGTGGGCGGTTGGCCGATGACGTGTCCCCGCGGAGGGGAGCACATGGAGAACGTGCGCCGAGCACGTTGTTCTCCCGCGAGGGAGCCCGGGTGGTCTTGCTCGTCCGGCGTGACGGACGACAAAAGGGGCGTGGAGCGGCAGCTTGTGCCCGGCGGCCAGTCCTGCTCGTTCGAAGGGGCGCGTGTCAGGCGTGCCCAGTTCGCTTGTTGGGCCGCATTTGGTATTGGGCCTGCCGAGGTGAGGCCCATACCGGAACAGGAGCCCCCCAAGTCGAAGCTCTGGGGAAGAGCGAGGACTTAAGGTCGTCGTGTCTGGAGCGGGGACTCGCACGAAGGGCTCCGGTCGTCGGTAGAACGGGGAGGAGGCAGATGAAGGGACGCGACTGTCAGGTTGCCTCCACGTGTCTTGTGTTAAGCGGTCGTAGGGGCGGCTAACCTATGTCATTAATGAGCCTAGAGTCGCTTCGAGTCCCGCGCCGGGTTATAAATATGGCGGTCCTCGCTCATTCTGTTACTTTTCTCCCTGCTAATCTTTTATCGTCTCTGCTCGTCCGCCGCTTGCCGCCGATCACCGCCGTGCCGTTTGCTCTTTTCTTCCGTCCGCCGCCGTTACAAGTGAGTTCCTCTTTTCCCTCTCTTTTTATTTCCGTCGTCTAACTGGAACGTGCGGTCGGGGCGGGATGAACGCCCCGAGGAGGGATGCGAGTTCCGCCGCGTCTGGCGAGTTTTCCGATGAATGTCCCGGGGACGGTAGGCTAGTTCCGATGAATGCCCCGAGGACAGGAGCTTTTTCTGATGAATGCCCCGAGGACGGGGGCTTTTCTTGATGAATGCCCCGAGGACGAGGGCTTTTTCTGATGAGTGCTCCGGGGAGAAGTACCTTCTCCGACGGTCGTCCCGAAAGGGGTGAGGGGGCGTTCTTCGATCCCGCGGAGGGTAGACGGGGAGCGAATGTCTGCTCGTCGCTCCTCGGCTTTTGTCGCCCTTTCACTTGACTTGCGGTGGAAGGGTGGATTTGATCCTGGCTATCGAATTCACCGATGTCCTCTGCTTTCAGGTGTAGATGTCGGCTCTGGTGCCGGGGATAATGGTTGAAGATACTGAACCCGAGGTCCCGGAGTATGACGACGAGCGTATCGCCCCGTCCGAGGAGTGGGCGGCCGAGGAGCCACTTTCCATCCCCTCTTGCTTTGTGGTCGACACGTCCGACGTGTATGCCACGGTCGAGGACACGCCGATAGGGGAAACGCAACACTGGCAGGTGTACCGCCCGAAAGAGCACCACCGGATCTGTTCGCGATATGGGCGGAAGATGTTCCCGATGTATGAATTTTATTTCAAAGAAACTCGGCTCCGGTTACCGTTTTCCGCCTTCCACCTGGGGCTTTTTGACTGGCTGCGTCTTGCCCCGTCTCAGCTGCACCCAAACGCTTTGGCTTTCATCCGGGCTTTCGAGGTGGTGTGTTTCTACCTCTCGGTGGAGCCGACGGTGCCGTTATTTTTCCGCATCTTTCATTTGCAGCGGCAGACGGTGCGAGGTCGTCACGGATGGGTCTCTTTCAAACAATCGACCAAAATTTTCAAAGCGTATAGCGATTCTGTCAAAGACTTCAAAGGTCGATTCTACCTCGTCAAACCGATCACGCAGCATGGCTCGGACACTCTCTTTGACGAGGGCGAGCGCACGGTAGATGGCCAGCGGTTCCGCGCGTGGCTTCCTAAGATACATCTACTGTGGACCTCGGAGCATTTCAGTCGAGGGACGGATAGGTATATCGTCCGGGCGGGGACCCTCGAGGAGAAGGACATGGCCGCTTATTTGAAAATAATTGCTTTTGTGCGGTCACTCCCCCCGTCGAAGCTGGTGACGCCCGACGGTCGGTACATCCTCGACGCCCAGGGGAACATACGCACCAAGAAGCGTTTGATAAATACCAAGACTTTGCTCGGCTGCGCGACCGGGGCGGCCGCTCTGGATTATCTAGGTAGGGATGTTCGTTTTCCCTCGTGGTCGGGGTTTTGATCGTCACTAACCTATTTCTTTGTTTTTGCAGCGAACATGTCTACTGTCGATGAGCGGGTGAAGCAGTTGCGCGCTGCCAGGAATGTCGTGGCCCCGAGGACGAGGGTGAGTCAGCTGGTCGGTCAGGAGGTCGCGACGCACGGGGGGCAAACTTCGTCCTCGTCGCCTCAAGAGAGTCAATCCCCTGTGTCTCAAGGAGTGTCGAAGAGGCAAAGGTCCGAGGAGCCTCGGGTGGTGGATCTGACGGTCGGCGCCGTCGAGGAAGGTTATGTCGTCCCTCCCTGCCACCAGCACCCGGGATATTTTCATGGTGCCCGTTCCCCCACTGTTTCCGCCGGGGAGGTGAAGGCTGTTCGCCAGGCTGATCGGGAGACCCGTCGACGTGTCCTGGCTGAGGACTTGGCCGCGATGATGCGGACGTTTACGACGGCTCTCGTGCTGAACGAGGAGGGCTGCTCCGCTGCTGAGCTGTCCAAACTGCAAGGGGATCTCACTTTCACGCAGTCGCGGTTGGCCAAGCTCACTGAGGAGCTGGAGAAGAGCCAGAAGGATGCTGCCGAGCAGCGGAAACGGGCAGAGGGTGCTGAGGGGAAGGTGACTTCGCTGGAGGAGAAGCTGGGGACAGCGACGGCCGAGGTGCAGGCGCTGAAGGTTCGTACGGAGGTTTTGGACAGCGCTGTTCGTCCGGCCGAGGACGAGACTGATGGGGATCGGCGGCTAATCACCCGTGCTGACTTGATCGCCCGTATCCGGGTGTTGGAGAGCGATTGTCTGGAGGCCGTTGAGGTCGGGTTCAAGAATGCGGTCGAGCAGATTCAGGTCGCCAACCCTGGTGTCGAGCTGGTCGTGGACGGGATAGGGCCGTACCACGAGATTGTTGATGGGAGGGTGATCGATCCTTATCTTGTTATCCCCGAGGAGGAAACCGTGGCTGCTGACCGAGCGGACGAGGAAGCATAGGTTGCCGGGCCTGCGTGCTCGTTGTTTTTGTGGCCTGCGTGCCGGTGTTTATCTTTTGCTTTGGGCCTGCGTGCTCGTTTTTGTACTATTGACTACTGGGCTGGTGCCCGCTTTTGTTAAATATATTTATCATGGATTTTCTAAGTGTGCGCTCGTTATTTGCATGTTGTTTTATGCTCGTTTTTCGTATTTGTTCGAATGCCTTTGATGTGTATGACATTTCTTGTAGATTTTCTAAGTGTGCGCTCGGTGTGTTTAGCTCGACAATTTGTTACCGGTAGTGTAGGGAACTGGCCGGTTTGGCCGGGGATGTAGCCGGGC